CTCTGAATTCTCCCCCATCTTCGGCCAATGTTCAGTTTGTTTCCAAAGTCGGAAAAACAGTCAGTATCTTTCTGCAATTCACATTATAGACATGGTAGATGGTGAAGCCACACCATGGGAATCCGTGACCATTAACTATTTAATAAGCAGGATATTACTCAAGATTTTGTGCGTATCCCAAGCAATAGACTCTCGAATGTGTCAGAAAAACGTCGATCATGGAAGACGGATAAGAATGTCTTCGCTTTCAATTATCGCAGCTATGAAATGCCGCGATATGTTATCACTTGTTCATAACTTTGCCTAGTGGCCGGTCGGTTGTTCAGGAATACTTTTTGAACACGTCACCTTTTGAACCTATTTCACCGTTCTGTTACCTGTGTTATATCAACAACACAGTTCGTTTTAAACAAACATGTACGTGTACATCACGCATACATTGTACAGTATATTAACTTCGGAACTTGAGAAAATGTTGGTAAAAATGTGTTGGTGAGTTTTGTGGAGCCCTTTTTCGTATGTAGGCCGTTTTCGCGGTCACCAGACCTCCTCCATGATCAGCGTCCCAAGGAATGAGAACTCCCGTCTTATCTGCCTGTGTTACAATCAAAATGAAACTTGGGCTGAATTAACTCCTAGCCAATAATCGCCCATTTCGTTATGGGATTTGGCTTAGAACGATGGACCAATCAGGTGAGGCGTTTGATTGTTTGTGTGCAGGGCAGTGCTCAGTTAATATACTGTGCAAACCACACTCTACTACACCTGTACATGTACATGTACATTGTCACATGTACCCGTACGTCATTACGGCCCTACGTGTACACGTACAGGCTTAAAGCTTACACGTTCAGTCTTGTGGGCCTAGCCTGGAACGCCCGGTTGTGGTAAAATCCCCAGCAAATAAATAAACGGAGCCACCTTCTCGGCAAGGATTGCCCAGGTCCGTCGTTCAGGCAGGAGTTTTAAAACATTGTAATTTGTAGTTTCAAAAACATGTATGAATTTGTAGTTCGTCCTGCCGAATTCAGTTTCACTGTCAATAAATAGCTGGGGGACCAGCTTGACTCCAGCGTGATTTTCCACTTTTAACTGGACCGGCCAAATCTGGCGGAACCATCATGTCAAAGATTCTGTCTCGTTCGCTGAGCTTGAGAGACGCTGGCGGGCGATTCAAGCCGAACACATGGGACAAATTGGTCAATAGGAACCGCAACAAGAGGCTGTTAGGTAAGTGTGTTGTCAGTGGCGTTGTGATTATCCGTGTACAAGTTAACGACTTTCAAATCGAAGACTCAGTTCCAGCATTTCCAAATAGTAACAGGCCTTCAGGTAGGTTTATTTGTGTTTGTACGGTTTCTCATCTATGCTGGTAAACGATTCCATAGGAAGCAAGATATGAGACTCAGAGATCCCCCCCTCCCTGCTAGTGCTCTGTGTTGGTCATTGCATGGTCATTGTTTCACTGGTATCTCAGGAATTCTTTTCAAGCAAAGTAGGGGGGATGTGTTGGGTGACAAAGTCCAGAGGGATTGGACATATGGGGGATACCCCTCCATCTCGTTTCTTGCTGGGAAAAGATGATTCTGTGTATGATCATGCTATTCATCATGTTCATAATTATTATGTTAATAGTGACTTATAGTGATTGGTTAACGATGTTGAGTATGATGAACAGGATGAAGTGCTGTTGTGGTTGTCTGTCACCTGATAATTGAATATAATTATTTCATTCCTGCATTGGCGAAGGGTAATTTTTAGGGGGGACTATTTCGTTTCTCCTTCTCCCCAAAGCATGTAAATAGCTCCAAAACTTAGATTTTTTTCTACAAAAAAATTCCGGGCCAAAATTGCAGAATTTCCTGCTACTCATCTGTCCCACCACTAAGCTGTCTACAAGGACACTTCACTGCCCACACATACATGTGTACAGTGCCTGTGTTGCTGTGTGTGTTGTGTGTTCTTGTTCATCCCACTATGCCTCTGTGTATCTAGTACCCTGGAGCTAACTTGGACTTTTCTTTTGACATCTTTGGAGGACTCCTACCCCCTCCAAAAACAAAAAAACCACCCCCCCCCAAAAAAAAAACACCGGTGGCTCTGGATCTACCCTTGCAAGTTGCATTCCTGCTGTAGAAATGCCTAAATTTGACTTCTCATCCTTCGGGAAGAGTTTCATATACCAAGGCCAATAATTATTTATTCCCTTCAGTGACCTTTTAGCCTTCAGAAAGCAAAAACATGTCCAGAAAAATTCAATTTAGGAGGAAAAAACCAAGTTGTTTACTTATAAAACAGAATTTTTCAGACCAGTCTCATAGGGTTTGTGCACGGAGTGTCAAGTGGCGTCTGTGTGTGGAACTCTTTCCCCCTGATGATTCATGTATGCATTGATGCTGATCCAGGGTTTCCCAATGATCATTTGAAGTTGCTTTGGCTAGGTAAAATTTCCCATGAGACAGGAACTTTCCATATAGGCCCCTAAAAATTGTTGAATTCCAGTGCTTCACATCCAAAATGAACCGAAGGGCCAAAGTATGATAAATGATTCTAATAAACTTATAAGAGGACAAAACAAACATGGAAACTGCTAACTATAAAATACCAAGCAGGTTTTTTATGGTATGTTGTGTTGTATGGTCTGCCAAGTAACAACACAGCAAAAATTACAGTAAACTAATGTACGAGGTATCGCTAGTTGTGAGCCATGATGTGTTGATGTGTTGATGAATGATGCTATGGGTCTCACACAGTATATGTAACAGTTGTGGACCAAATCAAAATCATTTGCTGTATTATTTTACCATGGATTTGGGTAGAAATTTGTCTAGAAAATACACATTATTTAAGAAAATGTTTCTTTTAAAAAATGCAAATCTAAATGTTAAATTCAACTGATCTTAAATCTAATTACATTTATCAAAATTGCAGTATGCATTATTGAAGTGTGTTACTTGTATTATCCTGTGGCTGGGGAAAATTCATCAATACCACCGTTGTACTGAAATGTTTCAGTGCAAGTCCCGGACACTGGACAGTATTGTCATTCATCATTGCTCTGCAATAGTTCAGCGCGTAGTATTTGTGACAGGTGATTTTACATGTAGATCCAATCCCTGAAAGATTATGTGTGTGTTTCTGTTTCAACATGTAATTTGCTAGTCTTTGACTAGCATCTAGTAAAATAAGGAGAATGTCTGAAAATAAAACTGTCTTTGCAGTGCCAAGAGAAAAGTGCACAGAAAACATGCTACAGTTGTTTTAAAAATACCTGGTTTGGACATTGACCAAAAACGTTTAATCTTATATCAACCATGTAATGTAGGTGTGGTATATTTGCACATCCATTTATTCCACTTACCACTTGAATCAGGATTTGTATCACAGAACCAGACGATGGACAAGGCACACCTGCTAAACCTTTACAAGGTTACTACTGGTATATTGAAACTAGGTCAAGTGAATTTTTTACCACAGGTCTCCTAAAATCACATTTCAAAATCAGACTTTGGACAATATGACCAGTACAAATACCAAACAATATGATGTGCCACAGCACCCATCTTTTTGATCAGTGATGGACCTGAAATAGGTTACTTGAATCAACAAGTTTGGAGGTGATTCGTAAAAATGTTTTCTTTTAAAAGAAAACAGTTTTTACGGGTACAGTACATGTACATGTAGTTTGTAGTGCATCGTTATTCTGTTGGTTTTTTGGTTTATTTGGTTTTTTTTGTTTCAAGTAGAGCGTATTCACATCAGTTGGAATCATGCATTGCAAATATAAGTTGAAATTTAAAAGCTAATGTCTGGTTCTTTTGTGAAGGTTGAAGTACCGGTGGCTGTGATATGACTGATGCCCATATAACCACTGGTACAGATTTGCCGTAGATGATTATATATTTTTTTTTAATTGTTGGTACATGTACCATGGATAAATTTCCATAAAAGAAATTGAAATACATGTGTAAGTGTAACAGCTGACATTATGACATCGGAAACCATAAAACATACTAGGCTTGTATTTTGTACAACATACCGGTACAAGGTGAAGTGCTTAAGGGTTTTGTTTGGACAAGAATACGAGTTTGATCTGTACATTTTGAACATGTTGTTTCTGGTTTTATTTTCCTTTGTTTGTTTTACATGTGTTAGTGTTTAGTAATGCCCTTCTGTAATACCTTTGGGGTCAACTCTTGCATCAAAACATCACAAAAAGGCAATACCGCCTAAGTCATATTGTACTACTGCCGAAAACTAATATGATTTCCTTTGTCATTGCCAGATACTCTGCAGTGCCCAATTTGCCATATGAGAGCTTTCTTTGCAGCTGAACAAGACCGTATCTCCTGTCTGATATGGCCCGCAGCATGCCAATCCTGCTATTTTTTTGTTTGTTGCAAGTGGTTGTGATTAACTTGAGCACTTGAAAAGTCATTTGTGGCATGCCTTGTGGATTGGTGGATTGGCAGTGGTGTACATGTACATGTATCTGATTTCGTGTTTGCCTACCACCAGTGGGAACTAATGCTGTACCCTTTAGTAAGTGGTTCATTCAATGTTTAGAAACTTTAAAATTGTACTCATATGACAATGAGCATAAAAACACATACTTAACCTATTGCTCCGACAATAAACAAGAACAAATAGAAGCTAAAGCCAGTTATACTTAGGGGACAAAGTTGGGGTAAAGTTTCCAGGAGTGGGGTCAGGAGCTAAGCTTATTGCTGTGGAGTCGGGGACATTTTTGCCCATGAAGACATTATTTTGTCAAACCATCAAGAAATAATCATGTTTCTCAATCCCAGTTTTTACCCTAAATTAAAACATGATTTGGGACCCTGTTCCTGTAGGGTATTTGCTGCTATGTAAAGTGACAAGTGATAATGATATTCCAAACAAGGCTGACCTCCCCATTGCATGACCTTGCTTGCACAGGTCTTTGAATTGAAGTGACTGAATTATAATACATGCCTTGTAACTTAAGATTGTGGACTCACCTGCATGTTGTATGCAGGGATTCCTTGTCAGCAGTTCACTGTCCATTTTAATAGCTCCATGGTGATGATGATGCCGACACTGCAGTGATCAGGAGGATTTTTTTCAAGTCTTTATTTAAAATGGACAGAGGCATCAGTGTTGTACACGTAGAGGTATATTGCACCCTTGTACAAGTATGTTAGATGTAATATAATAAGGGGAATAAGTTTGTACTTGGCTGGTCTTATTAGTATATGAGCATTCCAGACCAGCAAAGTACATGTATAAACAATGCTTCTTCCCATTCATAAATTTATACCTTTTAAGTCAGAAACTTAAAATAAGTTAGCAAATAAGGTTCAGTGATTTTGTTCAATTGTAATTCACTTTTATCAAACACCCTTTAGCCGTATTATGGTATGTAGTGGTAGCTCTCATGAGTAGTCATAAATAATGTCCTGATAGTTACTTGCAGATGTAGATTAGCAGGCATGTGGCACATACTGCATGAGGTGGTGTAGAACTCTCAAAATAGGGACTCAGTGGTGTTACACAGACAAAGATTGTGAACACTCAACCAGTACCAAAAAGGGACTAGATTTCACAGAAGTCTCACTTTTATTTCACAGTTGGATTGTTTGGATCAGCCAGTCAGTGCTTCATCTCGTAGCGTTTAAGACTTGCCATGTGACAAGCTTTTGACCCATGGTAATAGCTAAACTGTCTTATAATGAATTATGGTTAATTGTCTCATATTGGTGAATGCCAGAAAGAACATACATGTGATACCTGTATTGATGATGATGGAAATTCAATTGAAAATTGACTTTGGCAGACCTTCAACTTGTAATTGTATCCCCAACTGTGACTCACAGTGTAGTATCTGCAAGTCATTCTAGTTCTCCTTTACCAGGAAACAGATAAAGACATGGATGGGGAAAAGGAGTTAGCAACTTGGCACTTTCCCCCTCTTCCATGTATTCACAGCACCCGATAACTAGCATTTTGAGCCATATGTAGTGGAAGTTGGCAGTGTTAAACTTGTTAGTACATGTAACTGACTTTTCTTCCAGATTTTGAGTTTTGTTCAGACAGCTGAGATAGTTTCCTTGTATTTTAATATGAGCTGTTTGGCATAAATATGTACAATTATTCCAATTTACCGTAACTGTTTCAATTGCTTTTATAAATTGTTAATACTGGTGTGTGAAAAATTTGTCAAGTTAAAAATAATATGAATCGCAAATTTGTGACAGCACTTGAAAGATACTTAATGAGCACTTGTGCATCACTTTGTAAATCAACCATGGAATTCCAGGAGTTGCCATTTGTTTTATCTTTCCAGCTCAATCTCAGCAAACACACAGTGGCTATGACTTGATGTTTAAATATATTGACCTAGCTGTGAAAGTGACATGCATGACATCTCAGCCTGTTGACAAGCTATTTGTTGCCAAATATTGTTGCCTTTAGTAAGGCATATCATGGGAAGTCAAACACTTCTACTGAAGCCAGTAGGAGGATGTGTTCAAATTAATGTGTTCTGAGTAACAGGATGTTCCAACTTGTTAGTCGTGTGGATACTCCAGCAATAGTCACATGCAATTCAGTGTAATAGGGGCAGCTGATATGGTACATGTAGTTATTGACAGTACCTGTATATAATGGCTTTAGTCAGGCTTCTCTCAATAAATGTCACATTTTTAAAAGTCAGTTCTGCACGTAATTCTACATACATTAAATAGTTGGGCTCTGCCCAATGGATGATACAGAGACGACATGTACATGTAGGTATGACTATACAATCTGTGATATGCTTGGTCATCTGCCAAACTTTGTGGAGAGTTCTAGTTAAATTTCATGGCTTTTTAGAATACGGTAAGTTAGCAGGGGTGCAAAAAAGTCCAATGGGAACAGTTCCCATTGAAGATTGACCGCGACCATACTAAACCTATGGATCAAACTACTGTTGCACAGAGATCGATAGCTGCACGCGAAAATGGTTGTATGGTTCCCAGTCTCCAACTCCGTACGTACTGTACAGCAGCATACCCTGCATGCACACAGTGAAGCACTGTATATACGTGTACACACATTGTGTAGAGGGCTTTTCCTGTACAGGTTCATCTCATTTGTGGCAGATTTGGCGGAATTAATCTGATTTTGTTATTTTTTGGTCAGATTTAGCTGATTTTGTCATGATTTGTACAGCATAGGCAATGTGGTCAGCCAGTCTTACGAGGCCCAAACACAGCAAATAAACATTCCATCACGGTAAAAAAAGTCCACGTGGGTATGTGTGGTGGATTGACATGAAGGAATGTTGCGGCAAGTTTCTCGCGGAAGAAAAAGTCCAATGGAAACATGCCTTTAGTTTGCTCTGAACAATTCCCTGGGTTTCAAAAACAGTAAATGAAAATAAGGATGTGTTTACTTTCCCCCAAATTCTTGTCTGTCAGATTTACCTAACAGAGTACGCAGCTGAAAGTTTGATGCATACTGCATGTACTGGTATGTCCATTTGACAGGTCGTTGACTCCATGATTTTGTTAACTACAGAACATAGCTGGGATAAAACAGCTACTTGAGATGGTTTTATAAACAGGTCCAATAAAGGCTTCTCAGGTTGCACAGTAAAGGAGGCCTCTGAGAGTAGGTCATGTTATTTTTTGGGCTACCTGTATGACCATACCTTTCAAGGCAGTTTCTGTTGGTTTCCTTTTTTTGGGATCATGTACCTGTATTAGTTTGAAGTGGGGAGGGGGCAGCTAAGTTGGCAGGATGCACACATGATCATACATGTGCATCTGCTGCTGCATTGGTGGCACAGTGATGGTACAATATCACAGGTTTTGGCTGACGCATACTGAGTTTGTGAAACACATCTTATTCTTAGGCCGCGTTTCCATTGAACTTTTTATTCCGCGGTCAAGCGGAATCTTACCGTGACATTCCTTCATGTCAGTCTACAGCACTTTTTGACCGTATTGAATAGAACATTCTGCATTGAGAGTGCTGCACATATCACCTTTGACCTGAGCAGGATATGACAAAAATCATGAAAATGGAATATCTGAAAAAAATGACAACATCTGACAAATTCAGCCAAATCTGCCAAGAACAACACGTACATACATGTTTGCGTGTGTGGCTCTCTCTGGGTACGCTTCACTGTCTGTGCAGACCATATGTTGGTGTGCTCTGTGTAATGAGGCAGGGAACCATGCAACTATTTTCACGCACATGCCCACTGTTGATCTCTATGCACGTGTAGTAGTGAGCTACCCTGCTTATTTAGCGGTTTCCATTGTGTTTGCTGTCAGTCCGCATTATGAAACTGTTCCCATTGGATGTTTCTTATGCCCCTGCTAAATACTATGGCTGCGTGGGAATCTTCCGTGATCACTTTCGGCCTGGTACCCTCAGTTTTATACCACAGTCACGATAAATTGACTGGAATGTCTGGTAACTACTTGTCCCTCTTGGATTTAATGTTGTCATTCTACAGGAAAGTCACAGTAAGTTAATGAGAAAAAGTTTAATGGGAACACGGCTTTAGAAATTCCAACAAGTAGGAAGGTAGGCCTACATGTACATGTACAATGTAAATTTAAAAAATGATTAGTATGTAAACCCCCAGAATTGCACCTTCTTAAATTTTCCATTTGTCTATTTTGTGGCAAAATTAACAGTGAAGTTACCATACAAGTAAACATTGGGATATAACCATTCCTTCACATACATGTATTCCCCCCCCTATCTGTTTTACAAAGGGTGAAAAATTTTGCCAAAGGGCAAAGGGCTCCTCCCCCCAGTACCCATCTGTAAAATATAGGCAATAGTGGATCCAGTTTGGGGGCAGGGGCTAAACATTTTGGATTTTTTTCATATAGCTTTTTATGGCCTTTCTGGGAGTTGAGGCTACAAAGTTTTGACATTTTACTTTTGGAAGACACAGACACAGAAGACACTTTTTTTCATTTTAAAAATATTTTGGAAACTGTTGTCTTCATTTGTGGGGAGGGAGGCTGCCCCTTCCTCCATCCGCCCTTTTGCTGTTTGATCAACAGGATTTTGATCACATAACACCTCAAGAAAGTCTCTTGGGTAAATCATGTTCTACTTTGGATACGATTGGATCCAATTGGATGACTGTTTGCAACCTGCAAACTATTTTGAACTTTGCAGATTCCACTTCTGAGGAGATGCATACAGATGTACACTTTACAGTCTTAATCTGCAAATATGTTTAAAACAAACCTATTTTGGCATGCATTCCCAGCTGTCTCATTTTGGATGCCTCATGCAAGGGAAAGTATTAGAAAAGGAAGCAAAGAAAGGCAAATGTCGGTGCTAATTCTTGTGACAAAAATATGTGCCTGGTGAGAGCAGTTGTTGTTTTGTTTTTTGTGTGTTTTTTCTTTTTTTTTGGTTTCAGTACAGACGTGAGTTGGTGAAATACAGGTGAAGCAAACTACCTCTTCCCAGCCACTTCACAAAAGGGAAATGGTATGTTGCCTTCTCTCAGTTCTCTGTGAAGAGAATGCAAGGAGGTAAAAGTAAGAGTAGAGCCAGCACACAATAGCACTGACCTCCTAGAGGGCCAGTAGGCTATTGTAAATGGCATGTTTGATGACCACACACTACAGTCTAGGTGTGAAACATTATTATGCATCAAGGCATATTGTAACCAGAGTCTGTTGAGTCCTGTACACTTAACAAGTGATGTACCAGCAACCCTCAATAAAATGGTTTAATAAAGCCCAATTGGTTATCACTCTTAATCCTGTTAAGACAGTGAAGGATATAGTGATGCATTCATTGATTCTTAAATATTCACATCAGAATTTTACTAGGGTTTAAGAAAGAACCACATTCCCTATGTAACTTGTCCCATGAAGAGGATGACACTCTGGTTGCCAGACCCCCTCTTAGGAACTCTACTTCCTCCTTGACACCATGGCTACATTCCCCATTTTTGTGCTTCCATTTTAATGACCTCAATAGTTTTTTCTGCATCTTCTCAAATGGGTACTTGACTGAAATTGGATCATCTGCCAAAGTGTATTAAAAAACTTACTGATTGATTTTGAAGACAG